TGGAAAAGAATTACAATTCAACACTGATTTGAGAAGTCATATATGAATATTACCGAGGGTGGCGACAGCATCTCCTTTTCAGCATCGAAATGGTAGGCGCGCAGGTCACCTCTGAACTTCAAATTCAATAGATTCATGAAGACTATCTTTAAAAGAAACCCACAAAGCTCTTCCTATAGCCACTCGTGCTAATCCACAAAGCTTCATCCTCGCCTCCGACAACCTGTCAAACATCTTCGTCCTCGCCTCATCGTCTTCCCTAGGCCCAGCCAAAATCTAAATCAATGAGATATCAAGGGGTAGAAACACTTCTATCTATACCTATTTGATTGCCGCGCGCATTCGCTAACACTCATCAGCAGTTCTTCTGCGTATAGGCCAACACCATCAAGAACGAAATCTGGAAGATCTATTTTAGAATTTTTAGAGAGACCATCAATTACTCACTTATCAAAAATGTGACGAGACTTTCGGGCAGGTCCTGCAGATGCGGAAATCTTCCCCTTTTACCGGATTGTCTGCACGCAAAATTTTGGATTTCTTGTTTTGGTTCGCATGCCTAAGTGCACCTCTCTTCAGTATAGACTCGAAATTTTAGCCTCACTTACATGCAAAAAATAGAACCTATAAAAAACCATCATTAACAAACTTGGTCTTCGTGTCTCATCCACTTTTGGAGAACCTCGAAGCATGAGGCGTGTTTTATATGAGAAAAGTGTCATCAGTCGACAACTGTCCACTCAATGCCATGCAATTTCAAAACATTTCACTTATAAGAACTTCGCAACAACATCCAGCAGAGGCACGCTAATCCGCCAACGCGGCAAAAAGTATGAACCAAGCGAACGCAATAAAAAGAAGACAACACTGCTAGCGAACGACTCTCATAGAGAAAAATAAGCTGATGGTGAATCCAAGAGCTGCTAGGGAACAGGTAAGATAGTCTAGCATTTACAAGTATTTAGCTAAATGTATACATGGATTACATATGCAGTTGCATGGAATTCGGAAGACATTATCATGAAGTTTTAACCCATTGACGACGATGTGAGATTTTGGGGTATGAATGGTAGTTTCCCAAAAAATCCAAAGACTTCGGACCTTTCAAGACTCACTTAAAAATACGAAAAACAGAACAAAAGAAAACCGACGTTGCGCAAGATGCCCCAAAGATTTCAACATCGTAAATTATCTTCAAAGAATTCCGCTACAACTAATAGAATATCGGACGAAGGGGGACTCAGTGGAGAGTCAACGGCATAGATCCGCATAATCTTCTTTTCTGATTTCAAAAAATATTACTTTGTTTTCAAAAGAAGACATTGTTCAGGAATCTATAATTTAGTACCATGTAAGGATATTGACACCACCAGATATAAACGTGAAAAAATGATTAAAAACAAACAATAGTTGATTCTCACAAAACGAAGAGCAACACATTCGCGACTTTTACATCTTCACATGAAGTGTGCGACAAGCGCACTGAACTGGCACATACTAATAACGCCATAACATGACAGAAAAAAAAAGCTGTTTGCGCAATACGACCACGGCGATGATGACAGATGGCAGATGTTCACAAACAAAAAACCAAAAATGCACAAAAAAGAGGTGAAAACACGGGAAAAAGAGAAAGCACTCATTGTACTCGCCAAAACGTCATTTTCAGCTGTGGCGCAGATTTGACTGATCATCGGATCATTTGAAGGCGTTCCATGTTCGACACATGCCATTAACCAATAATGAATCGAACATGACAGATCCGGGTAAAGAAATGCTTTGGCGACGAACTTTGCGTGCGAGTCAATCAAGTGTGCCTATAAAAACTCTATAAAAAGAGAAAAATACTGACTCCCAAAATTATTTCTTGCAGGTATCTCCGAGTTAAATCCGATGAACATGTACACCAAGAAACGAAACCAGCCTTCGAACACAACTGCCTCCGACGACGGCAAGAGCGTAAATGAAAACTGCTGCGGAAGCAGTGCTACTGCGGTGCAACATGTCACAACACGTTGGCGCGGCTAAGATGTTCTGTCAACATGTTGTGGCATGTTGCAAACATGTTACAACCACGTTGCCAACATGTTACCATGTTAGCTGGATGGCGAGATCGCGATCCCGGTTTTCTCCCGCTTCATTTTTTGTGTCGGGATTGTCCCGAAATTCGGGACAAACCGGGAGTCGCGCAAGACTCCCGGTTTTCTCGCGAAATCTCATTTTGTGGGCGGATCTCCGGCGGGACTTAACTGCGAATGTTTGAGGACGGGCTTCGCGTTCACTCGTCCATGGAGTGGGCGGGTTCGGAGAGGACAGGAGCTGAGCGCTGCTTTCGCTTTGAAATTTCGGAGGTTAGAAGTGGCAGAGAAAGATCGAACTTTGGCCCATAGGTTCCATTATGGGGCTCCTACCCTGTGACCTTGTTTTGCCACGGGTCTCATTCTGCCGACCTACTGCCTTTAACACGTTGACGACGAGCCATTTTTTGAAGGTCTGTCCCTGTGGACGAACCGTTTCCGGGCATTTTCACAGCCGGCTGCACATATATATATATGCATGCATCTATGCGTGAGATACACAAATGCAAGTGGGCGGGGCAGCTCCGCCCACTTTTGGCAAGCCCCGCCCACTTCTCAAAAAATGCAGGAAGTTGTTCAAAATCAATGAATTCGTGCAAATTCAGGCATTTTTGAAAAGTGGGCGGAGCTTGCCACTGAGGGGGTGGAGCCTGCATTACGAGGTGCGGGGTCAAAATTAAGATTATTTGAGGTTCCCCTCTCATCTATGAGCTTTTCTATGCGACTTGAGAACGAAGAAAGTTTTTTGTAGAGGGCAGTGGAGTGGGCGGAGTTTGCCAAAAGGGGGCGGGGCCAACATGAAATACTTTCGAGCCTAACTTGATTATATGAACACAAATTGGGACCATTGTGCACATTAAAACTGATGTTTAGGGTGTCGCGCACCATTGTGCGACATCGTCCACAGGGACAGACTGCCTGTCGCGCACCATTGCGCGACACCGTCGTCAACGTGTTAAGGGAACATGAACATATACAACATAGGTAGTATTGTAGGTAATGAATTGTACGGTGATGTTGGAGGCTGATCTTAAGATTTACATAAAGACTGCGTATGGGCAATGGAATTAAACGTTCCTCCAGGCAAAAGCCTCCTTCAGACTTAACATATGTGTTCCCCTCACGACCGTATTTCTCAAGATGAGACGTACTTGCTAGAACGTTCCACGTTCGTTCCTCTTCTTCTTCGTCTTTATCCTCGCCATTGTCCCGCGGCGTGGGGTCAGCGGTGTTGCACTTTTGTTCCAACTTGACTCGATTGGCAGTTTGTTGTGGTGTGAGGTTTGCAATGTGCAGGCCATTCAATAATGTCCAACCAGCGTTGCTTCGGCCTGCCGCGTGGTCTTCGTCCTGTGGATCTAGTCGAAGTGCTGTTCTTGCTACTGTACTATCGTCACTTTGTAAAACGTGACCGTACCATCGTAACCTTGCTCCACTCATTTCATCTGCAAACGGTGCAACTCCGAGAATGAGCCGCACGTCGGTGTTCGCTACACAGTTTCTTCGCGTGAAGCCAAGTAGCCATCTTATCATGCGCATCTCTATCGTGCTCGGATCTGCTCGTGCTTCTTGGTAATTGGCCAGCACTCTGCTCCGTACAGAGCTACTCGATCGCACCCCTGTACAGACAGAGTGTTGACCAATTATGTGCGATATACTTTTGATCTGATATATCGAATTCTACGGTCGCAGAATACTGCTGCCACTTGTCGCCATTTCAGCCGAGCCGCATTCGTCCTAGCACGTGCATCAATGATCGTTTCGCAATCCGACGTTACATGGGAACCCAGGTATTTGAAAGTGGTAACTAACTTCCCTTAGTGGCTTCCGTATGCTGATTGCTCCCCACATTCTAGGTGCTCAGTCTTCCCGACGTTCTAACGTCGTTTGAATTTTTGAGCCCCTTCTCGTAGATTCCGTTTCTGGGTACATTGTTAGCTGTTGTGCTCATACATGAGTAAAATGCCCCCAAGCATGTAAGAAATGGTTGCTTACTAACTCCAATGAAGAAAACACACTTTTTGCAGCTTTGCGCTAGATATTTCACCACAATCGAAGAAGTTCGCACCGCAACGTTGTCTACATTATGAACGGAAGGAAGATCTATGGAACGCACAAAAAACCCGCTCAATTGAAGAAAAAACAAAGGATTTTTGAAAACACGTTTTTTTTTCAGATTTCTCGTTCAAATCACAGAAAGAAGTCTGCGACGTTGTCAGGATGATAGTAGAGATCAAGAGCTTCAATATAAAAATGCAATATACGTTAATAAATATAATAAATATAATTCAATATATTAGGTCGTCCCGAAAGTTCTGTCGCATCATTTTCAAAAATTCATAACTTCTAATTTTTTCAACCGATTTGATTGCTTTTATTTTTATGTGAAAGTGTAAGTCATGCTCTTTATAATATCATCTTAGCTGCTTGCCAATGATCATCTGTTGCCTAGATAGGAGCGATAGAAGAAAGTTGTCCAAAATTCGAATTTTCTGTGTAGGGTCATAAAAAATCGGGACTTGCAACAAAAATCGGAACAGTCAGTATTATAAGTTTTTCACCAGCTCTTTCGAATTGTGCAAAGTTTGCGCTGATTGAGCTTTTCTATGAAAAGGTATGATTTCCCTGAAAAATGCCAAAATAAATCAAATTCGCCCATTTGTATTGCTTGCTCGAAAACATAACACATTTTTGAAAATGGTGCGACAGAACTTCCGGGACAACCTAATATATAGCTTCAATATATGCTAAAATTGGTTCCATAACAACGAAGGAAAGGCTACCAAAGCCAAATCAGTGGCCTACTGGCCTAATTCCTCTAGCCCACGATCGACACTGGGTTGTCAAAACATCTTGAAAAGGTGGATTCCAATAAAAGTTTATTAGTATAATCCGCAAAAAAAACATCACATCCACCGATAATGTTGGAAACGACATATGAGGGCTTCGCACACGCTACCCAAACGACGAACACAGAAATGAAACTGGCATCACAAATAGACAGAACGGAATAATGTACACGACTGCTGTTCAGATAGCCGTCGTCCGCGTCGAACGCGCTCATACACCGTTATTGAGGCATTATCCAGTCGATCATCACAATGGAGCCCGATCGGTAAAGTTAACAAGTAATCATTATTTTGTTAAACAAAGTAGCCGCGAAAAACAAGCCGAATGCACATATTCAAGGAGAAGGGATGTCGCATTATTCTACACACACCACATCCGAGCGACGAAGAAGGCGGGCAGCATACGTTACCAATTATAAATAGGGATATAATAATAACGTACATTCGATTGAATGGGCATTAATCGAATACGGCCTTATAGTGATGGAGTGTTCGTTTAGGATTTCGACAGCTGGTTGGACAACCAGTCCAAGCCCTCGTAAAGTCCATGACCCTGAGTAGCGCAAGTAGCCTGGATGTACCACTGAAAAGAACAGGATTTAAAAAATCATGACATACACCACTCAAAATTTGAAAGCCTTTCCTCTTCATAACCCTTTCAAAACGCGTTAATAGTAATAAAAACAAGAACTGCCACAGGAACAGCTCAGTTGACGGGAAAGACATGGTAACGCGGGAGTTACTAGCTGCATGAGGATATGGACATGAACAAAAACCCTCTAAGACTCTTATTCCTCGATCATTTTCCATATACCTTGCAGCATATTTTATTTCAGAGAAGCGGGTAGGTCACAGATACCTCGCTTTCTAGAAGTTCATGATGATGTACAGCTATTTGAGGTGCACCATGTCACAAGCACTTCAACAATTTCAAAAAGCATATTAGGTCAAATTGAGGCTTAATATTCAACAAAGTTGTTACATTATCTATGCGCCTGATCTGACCCAGCTATTTGCTCCAATTACGCTACATCGCACTGCCCTCCGCGCACGCAACAAATTGGAAACATATGACTGTCAGCTACCTCAGACCATAAAAACTCACAAGAAAACGCACAGATAAAGGTTGTGATTGAAAGACAGAAATATATAACTACTAACGCAGAACCTTGTGTTTCGCTGGCAATAGACTTACAAAACATCTTCCTGCTACCATAACTAATGATAGGGCTACATACTAAAGTTTACCTGTCGTGAACGCAGATTGTGCAGTCCAAGTTTGTCCGTTAATTCAGCGGCGCTCATTGCATTAGGGAGATCCTAAAAGGAAGAGTTTAGCTGCTGCGAACTTGTTATAACGGCGATCGTACCTGTTTGTTAGCGAATACAAGAAGAGTAGCGTCCCTCAACTCGTCCTCGTTCAGCATCTTGTGAAGTTCTTCGCGAGACTCCTCTATACGTTCACGATCATTGGAGTCCACCTATAAATTTGAAAAAATGTTTGTAAAAAGAATTCAAAAAGAGATGCCCATCTCAAAGAATACGCTCGTTATGTCAGATTATATGAGCGCAATTAATTTCTTAACACTAGAAATGTAAAACGCAATAACTTCCATCTATTCGGAAAATTCTAACTAATCTTGTAGCGGTAAGAATTGAAAATCAATTATTACTATAGATGATCTACTTGGAAATTACTGAAAATGCAAAAATATAGATTTGCCCGAGAAGATGATCTTTCGAAAACCTCATTAGTCGATGGAAAACGATTAGCAATTCATATCAGCGAACGGTTGAACACATATCAACGCAGAATTCAAAGCTGGTCAAACTCACCACAAAAATGAGACCTTGCGTATTTTGGAAGTAATGCCTCCACAATGGCCTAATCTTATCTTGACCTCCAACATCCCATACGGTGAACGAGATATTTTTGTACTCGACAGTTTCCACGTTGAATCCTTAAATATGATTTTAACTACAAAAAGAGCATTTGCCAGAAAATTCCGGTGGAAAACCCACCAATCGTAGGAATCGTGGTCACAATTTCTCCCAGCTTTAATTTGTACAAGATCGTGGTCTTACCGGCAGCATCAAGACCGACCATAAGAATTCGAACCTGCAAGGACATTCAATCAATCGATCTCGATACTTCCTTTATTCAATAAGCACTAAGCGCGCAGCACAAAGTTTCGAGTGGTCAGTTACTGCTTTGTTTGGCAATCAACATGTTTCTCACTTGCTGCGAGGCAAGAAGAAATAGCCTTATCTCTGCCGTCAGATGATGACACGAATGTCACTTGCCTTTTTGTACCTACTAATGTAAATCAATGAAGAATTTCGCATTCAAACTACTAAATATAACAACACGCAAAAACACGATACGCTAAAAATTAATAGCCGAATGTATTCCGCACTTTTCGCTCAGGCAAAAAACATGCAGAATAGCATCATAAACGCATTTTTTTCGAATTTGAGACGACTTCAGACGGCAAAACTGACACATGAAATAAAAAACACCAGCATATTCAGCATGCTAGTAAGCTTCATTCACTTCAAGTGTTGTTTGTTTGCAGTAGTTGATAAAATACTATTCACAGCCTAGAAAAGCATATTTCTCAAAACCATCACATTTGATTACGTTAAAAATCGAAATTTTTAGGTTAATCCCCAAATCAAAAAATGAGATAATCATGCATCGATACTATGCGCTTTGCAAGCCAAAATGAGATAAGAGCAATGGCCTCTAATGGCCTAATTGTGAGAAGGAATGCTGCACCTATAGCCTGATATTGAACAAACAAAATATCATTCCAAATGTTCAGATAAGCCAACTCCACCATAACCAAGTTTATAAAATCGTTGCGGTAAAATGATGACCGCAACTGGCATTTAAATCCTGCGGCAATTTCAGTTGAGTACCTTCATTGCAGAATAGGAAACGCCTTTCATCTCGCAATGTTTCTAAAAGAATGGGACAAATAAAGAATGTGAATGACCATGACTGCAAAACTCATACGGATCGCCGTCAAAAGGTTAGTTTTGCGGTTGACAAAGCCCACTGAAAAACCCATAAAAGATAAACCATGTCCCGATTAAAGGAAAAGGCAGAAGTGGAATCTAATCATATTAGCCTAGTTGCTCACTGAAAAGTTTATCTGACTCGGAGCATGAAGGTTTGTTCAGTGGTTTGGTCCTAGTTATAAAAGCCTTTGAGTGCTAAGCTTCAATATATACAGCCAAAATCTCGTATTTTGTAAGATTTTCATTCTTCGCTGATGACAGATATTACAGTTATACCATAATCCATGGTCAAATTTTTCAGCAGTGGTCAGCACCAGGCAGTAAACATTATCCCCTCATTCCAATCCTTCACAAATCTGATAGCGTCCGTCTACGTCTTTGAGTGTAGTGATCGATTCATTATTTCACACGTACGATTACGTGCCACACATAAAAAAAGCACCAAACATGGAAACCAAAAAACCCGTTTGAAAATAAACCAAAATCTCGCTTTTACAAAATAGATTGTTTCAACAACCAGGCAGAAAAACACTTGCGAATCTAGAGTCAAAGATGCCGCTTACCTATGTAAAATTCATCTTTCTTTCAAAGAGCATGAGCAAGACTGCATGATGTTCTTTAGTCAACATTCCCTCGAGAGAAAAGTAATTTGTTCAGCAATCAATACACTCCTTTGGTTGTCCAAATTGGCAAGCTGATTAGTTGGACTCAACCACTTTTGGCACTTTTAATGAGACAAAATTTCGATCGAAACAAAGCCTACAAGAATATGGCCGCTTGTATCTATATCCGCACTGATAGGATATGCAAAGTGCTTCGTAGCATGCGCTTGTACATGGTTAAGAAAGTGAAAGTTGACCACTGAAGAGATACTGAGAATAACCCGCTTAGAAAAAATTCACGTATGTAGCTTCTGTAAATGAAAAAACAGCAATTGCCTATCTTGCCGTAATGAAAATCGAGCAAGAATCAGATTTCGGTGCCATGGACTATTCCTCAAACGGCAAAGATTCTTCCTGACTAGCTAGTGACAATGGAAGGGAAGATATAGACTCATAAAAGCAATACTGCGCACTCTCATCGGTCATAACCATTTGCTGCCAGAACACCTTGAAATGAAGAGAAAGCAAAATAGAAAAGGCAATTACCTGTTTCTTTCCGAAGAGGCGATTGAAAAGTGAGGAGATGGTCAACCCCATTGTTACCTGAAATAGCTGGATGAGCTTAAGCGGAACCGAACACGGAACGCAACTCGAAATAAGCGTGGACACTTTATCAAAGCAACTTTAAATTCACTTCTCAGTCAAAAATAGCTCTCATATGAAAAAGCTCTAGACTAGACTTGTAGATTAAAATCCTGAAATAAAGAAGACCGCATTCCGATGATGATGAGACGTAATACGTCAGAGAAGCGGATTCAACACGTGTATATTCGATCGCTATCGCTCGTCGTAGGACCCGCTTCGGAAGCAGCTCACCTTTAAAATTCCTTTGAAGGTGAAGCATTATCTCTCGGAAAGTGATTGATTTGGCTGTCTTTTTAGATATTGCATGAAGTAGCCATGGTGGGTTTAGGAAGACGCAAAACAATGCATTTATGATGAAACCGCGAGGACAAAGAAACACACTCGTGTTGATCGACCATCTCATTAGGTGGAATTCACGCACAAGCTGACTCGATCTTATTTGGAGCGCCACAAATCGGAAGAACAAGCGAGCGCCTTGAAACAATTGATCAATCCGATCGTTGCTGAAGGGAAAAGCTAGTACAATTCTAACTCGTACTAGGCAAAATAATCCACATGGAGCAGCGCGTCTGCATTGCTGGAGCTTTGCGCATTGTGCCAAACAAGGACTGGATGAAAAGACGCAAACGTGGGTTTTTAGCGCGACATCTGTTGTAGCTGGGAAACGGCGCGAACCGTTGCGTGGCGTACTCCCGCCAATCCAATCCCCGGAGTTGAAATACTGTAGCTAGAGCCAACCTCAATATTAGAAAAGCTGGTACTATTCCAGTATACCGACCCCAAAAATGAAAAACATTGGATTTTGCTCAAACTCCGCTTAGTGAGGTTAATTGGCATGCAGTTCACGAATATGATATTCATTTGTTGCGGTAGCGTCTCCGTGGTTACGGGGGTATACGGTATGAGGGTCAAGATCTCAGATTTTGCTAAAACTCCGTCTAGACGGGTTCTTTGACATGCTGATCAAGAATATCATAACGATTTCGCACGATAGCGCGATTTTCTTGAGTCACGGTGGGTATATGGTAAGGCGACCAAAGTTCCAAATCCGCTCATAACTTTGCCTAGTGAGGTTTTTAGGTTTGCTGATAATACTATTATCACACTCGTTCGCCGTAATAACGCTGTTGTATAATTACGGTAAGTTACAGTGCACAGTAAACAATTTCTCCAGGTTAGGTCGATTCGCACGACTGTAATGCTTTCCGCCAGACCCACCGCTGCGCGCGACACATCCTGCAGCGGTTTTTGCCTAAGCAGAGCAGGGGAGGGAAGATTTGCGGTGTGCATGACTTGACAACGGAAATCAAGACCAGGGTGCCTCTAGGAGGCTGCCGTGCAAAAAGACCGTCTCCCACCTTTTTCCCCTTTCAAGTCAATTTAGATCACGAAATTGCATTGAAAGTCCAAGCGATAATCATAATCAAAGTGTCAAATAACCTCCATGGGTAAAGTTATTGCAAACTCCGTGGTTTTCCGTTCATACTATAATCCTACCGAACCCCACCACAAGACGCTATCGTAAGGAATGAATATAATAGTCGTGGTCAGCATCGTCAACCCCCTACACCAGGTTTCAGCGAAATCCAGGATTTTGGGATTCCACAGTACACCCACCGTAACCCCGAAATGAGTCGCTCGCATAACGAATGAATATCATATTCATAATCAGCATGTCAAATAACCCCTCTAGATGAAGTTTCAGTGAAATCCGAAATTTTCATTTTTTGGGGTCGGTATGCTGGGGTAGACAGACTCACTTCTCTCGCGATCATGCAAAGCCCTGCACTACCGCTTTGCACGCCTCTCGCGCCAATGCGCCGCCTTTGCTTTTTCAACGAATTTCGAACTTGGTCTTTGTGCCAACGCTTTGAAGGCAGAAAATAAAGTGCGCTGCAGGCTTATACGGTCTGCTACAAGGAAAAAAATGCTGACCAAGCACTTCATGTGCAGCCGCGCATTCGCTTTGGTGAAGGTTCCGCGAGCGCACCGCAATGACACTTTGCCAGCCAGAGATCAAAGGAAATGAGGAGTCGCAGACATGGGTTCCACCATAATACCGTTGCTTGTTGTTTACTAGAGATACAAACGGAAAAGTGAACTGGTTTATCTCCCGGGAAAGCTGAACAAATCGGACCAAAAGCTTGGAATTAGGGGGTGAGATGCGTTACTTTCTCGGGTGAAAATTTTTATATTGTTGCTGAGAAATAAAAGCCCAAGATTCATGTTGAATGTAATTCCAAGCTTTCTACGAGAACCCCACCTAAACATGAGATTATTTGTTAGTTAGTGTGAAGTTTCTAGATAGTGCATCCATAGTTCTATGCATGAATCTGCGAGCGAGGTGTGCATGATTAGACTTGCAAATAAGATGAGACTCACTCCTCTCAAACCAAACAATCACCGCTGAAAGGCTAAGTTTGGGTGAAACGAGAGGAGGATCTAAACAGCTTCACCATATGAAATCTTGCATATAGATATAGGCTGTCCCCGCCGTGCGCGGAGAGCAACGCATCAAAGATAGTTCATGACTGGAAGAGGCGCAGAGAATACAAGCAGCGAGAGTGCACGAGAAAAGAGGAGTGATGCGTGGAACACACTCTGCGCACTCTCCGTGCCCTGCGCAAACGGCCTATAGACTAAAATTCAAAAATAAGCTAATTCATTATTGTGGGTTAGCATCCATGGTACAAATCCTGCGTGTTAGAAGAGTGAGTGAACAATGAAAAATAGAGAAATTGGATGGATTATGTTTGACCATGAAACGGTTTGAAATCAGTTACTAATGTTCCTCACATCTCGAAAAATCATTGCAGCTCATCATCATTTTATAGAATGAATAATTTTTTGAAGCTTCGATATTCTGAGGGGTTTTCTGTTTTTTTTTCTGTTCTCTCGTTTCCTGTATTTTGTCAACATTTCACAATTCAGTAAAGGTACAGACATTTCCACATTCTTTACCTCAGGTACATAATTTTCTCAATTATGTATCAAAAAGGCTTTTTCCAAATATGGCAAATTGAAGATTCTCTTAGAATGAAAAAAAAAAGTCAAGTAACATTTATGTTGTAAGAAATTCAGAACTGATGCGTTTTCAATGCCTATTTTGTCCCCTTAATGTTTTCTTCTGCATATGCAGTCGACCGTTTGAAATTTGACTAAACAACTTCATTATTTCCTATGCAGCTAAAAAAACGCCGAAATTCGTGAATGTAAAAATAATTCAACAAAAATTGTTCCTCACATATGCCAACAGCTACTTCTTTCACTTTTTGAACCCCTCTTTCTCCTATTCCTCCCTCTCCTCCAGACAAGTTCCATCGCTTTCAGCTCATATGAAATGCATTAATGAACACATGCTGCTAAAGGGAGTCAGCATGGGCCAATGAGCCCTTTTCTACCTTCCTACAACAATGGAGAAGACTGGCAAAAACCATGAGAAAAGTAAGTTAAAGTAAATTGTTCTCACTGTCATCTCTATTAACATAATTTATCATTTTTCCCAAGAATCAGACAAGGAAGATATTTGGGCTCTACCAGCATATGGCCCCTATCTCGCATCGGACACTGATTTTCTCAAAGCAGCAGGGATTATGACCGACTATATCTATGGTGAAAGCTTCAATAACAATGACAAGGAGATACAGGTGAAACATAGACGTTTTTGTTTGACGCACAGATTTGGTGCAATTGCGAACTTGGTGAGAGAATGGTCGTTTGGTAGAGGTGCAGACGATGAGAGTAAATTGCTAACGGCGGCATTACGAAAATTTGGCGCGAAAAATGAAGAACCTTCCCAACTTCGCAACGACATTTATTTTTACTGGATTTTTTTATTTAGTGCGACCTCATCACCGAAGATGGTGGACAAGAACTTGATCCTACGAGGCTGAGTTACAAGTGAGCATGATAGAAAGTTACTTTCACTTGAACTAGTTCAAATACTTTAGGGAGAGGATCCGATGGCATCTAAAGGAGTTCTGCTACAAAACATCCAGTCACGGAATTCCTATGCTTGGCCAAGCGCCAAATTTTGTATATAGGTCTGAATTTTGCTTGTTCTCACATTCGCAAGTGTTAGTATTAACTTCAGACTAGCATGGATTATTCTCCTATCAGGATGCGCAATTATGTTTGTTTATCAGGCGATAGCCGTCGTTGATAAATACTCAAGAATGGACAAGATTACTGATATTCAGCTGAAGTTCGACACGGGTATGATCTGAAAATTTTTCCAATATGTACTTTTGTTAATGATCTGCTTTGCAGCACCATTTCCGGCTATAACGATTTGCAATCTCAACCCATATCGTGACAGTCTTATCAGATCTCAAGAAAGTATCAACAAAATTGTGAGTTCTTAAGTTTGAGAAGTGCTAAAAAGTATTGAAAATTATCTATTACTTTCTAAATAATATATATGTAGTGGATTTAAGTGGGACATCTCTTCAGAAACCGATTTCGACATAGCCATTGGTGAATTTATATGTACTCGCGCTCACCAAGCAGAGTACTTTTTCACTAGAGAAGATGTTCTTACTACTTCTCTTAGATTGGAGCTCATTCAAACTTCAAAAATAATTTATCTTAAGCTGGGGGAAATCTCATACATTTAAATCCGATTAAAATAAGCATCTATTCGAATAGACGTTTTTATCTTGTTAAAAAAGCCGGAAAATGAGTGATTTTCTTCATTAAGAAAGCTCCCTATACATTTTGTTACTCTCTTTGTTTATGGTTCTCGCAAATAATTTATTTCACTTTCGAATTACCCGCCTTAGTCCTAACTTGCAATGGAGATTCGAGATTTCCAGGAAGGGGACGACGTTTTTTCTGAACGAAATTAGCCGAACCTTCCTTCCTCCCTCCCCAAAGAAAAAAATCCCTAAAGTGATTTTTAAATCTTTTCCGCGCTATCCTAAAATTCTCAAATTTTCCTACGAAGCTAAACTAAATTCCGAGAAACTTTGATATTTATTTATTCAAGCAAAAAATGAGATATTATGCAAGTTATTATGTAAACTGCCATCAAAAATTCCACAGTCCCCTCCCCCCCCCCTATGAAACATATAAATATGCTGACAAGCCGACCACTTATAGCTCACAAAAATAGGTATGGTTCGAGTTGCAAAAAAAATTACATACGCTCGTTATGACGAAGCTATATGGTGATGCCAAAGGCTACTGCATGACGAAGGCGCAGAAGCTGTGTTAGTTGAGGAGGCGCAAGCGCGACGCGCGCGTATCTACACCGTTGTAAATCCTGTGCCTCATGCGCTCCGTGGCTAAAAAAGCCGCGTTTACGCCCAAAGATATTGCGCCTGCGTCATGCAGCAGCCCATGGCTGGGTATACTGTATCGGAAAACGTTCATGCCAGACATAATCGGTTAGAAAGTATTGTTTTAGAGGTCCTAAAAATTGCTGAATTTTGGCTCTGATCTCCGCTAATATATATGATGTATAATATATTGCAGCTAAGCGTATTCAAAAAAATCATGAGAAGGGCCGGCGGTGGTAAGGAAATCGATGAGTTGGAGGATGCCATTGAGGAAGGAAAGGTGTCTTTGTCATCAGGCCGAATGAAGCGAGACGCTGAACAAAAGGGAACATTTGAACCCGTGGGTTCAGGCGGGTAAAAATTAACTTCGCGATTTAAAGATCAATTTTCAGGCAAACTCAGTCTGCGAGTGTGAGGATGAAGAGTGCGAGGCGGATGCTCATAAGGTACTTCAGCAATTTTGTGTAATGTGGGTTATAAAAATAACAACAAATTTTCTAAGGTCCCTACGGCCGAAGATCATCGATGCATCTGCGCATTCGATCGCCTAACTCATGATGCATGGCCATGTCATCCAAGGGTTCGTTGCACACTTTCGAACAGCGCTACCGTATGGCTACCGTACTCTCACCGTATTCACTGTTCGGCTTTTTTCAACAATATCGCTCTTCACTCTCAGCTTTTTTAGGAGGCATGGCTGAACACGACGTGTGACTTCTGCGACGAACACAAATTCTGCCAGAAAAAATCGAAAAATGGTGAAAAACAAAACAAGCATTGTCTTTGCGAAAAGGGCGAATCATTTTGCATGTTTTACGATAGGGTTAGCTGCTTATACGCAGCAGAGAAATTTCAAAATATAAATTTACATTTAGGTTGCAAAAATTCTAGATCTTTGGGATTTCTTTGGTACTTCTTTTGACTACACTGCAGAAGTGAATGACGATGAGATCGAAGCGCTTGGATTTGGGGTAAGCTGAAAACTAATAAAAAATATGATATGTCAAGGAACCTGCTGGGAGTTGGTTTTTGACCAAATGGATATTCGATGACTAAGAAATTTTCATTGATTTTGGTGAAACATTATCCGCTCCATTTGGTTATTTGAACACTGATTCAACAATTATTCAGTGAAAGCGACTCCATTAGTGAGATAATTTTGAAATATTAAAAATTTGAGGAAGCCCGCAGAGAACGGCAGTACGCCTGAAATATCTAGTCAGTAGAGAAGGTTTCTCACTTCTAGCACCTTCTTCAATAAGTTAAAGTATCTAAACTTTGGCCCGTCTGCTTCTCTTATGTTCGCGAATCTCCCTGCGATTCAAAGGCATCAAGAGTTGCCGCATAAGATGTTGTGCATTGTCTGCGTCAAAGGCCTTGTAAGGCATACTTCACATGTTTCAGTCGCTGCGCGATCTGACACTGCAGCGACTCTTCGTAACTGGTTGTTAGCGCGTGCATGTGTTTGCATGGGCCAGACTTACAGCTTTTGCTATAACTTACGGTAGTTACACGCCTGTGCACTTAGGACCCGCACACGATTGATCTGTAAATATATGGCAAACTGCCAAGTCGCGTGGAGTAGCGATTTGACGAAACCGAGCGAGGTATGCCTTAGGCTAAGACTATTGAAGGCATGAAATCACATCTATAGACCATGAATAACCATTACATTGTGCTAATTAAATTGTAAGGCAAGTAATCAGTGTTATGAACCACATAATCAAGATGAAAAGATTCTGAAAGAAGAAAATTATCTGGAAAATGCTAAGACAGATGATCAATCTACAGGGCTTATCAAACGCAGTGTCCCTTGCATCAGCATCTCCACTCCCGCGCTGGACTCTGCGTCTCTTCGGCAAACATGCTCTCTAATCACTTCCAACCGATTGAGGCTCCGCCTTTCCCACGCTCGGCCTGGGAAAGTGATCAGAGAGCATGTTCGCGGAAGAGAAGCAGAACCCAGCGTGGGAGTGGAGATGCTGATGCAAGCGACACTGCGTTTGATAAGCCCTGTATTTGTGTGCAATGACTAGCTGCATAATGGCTGTAGGAATAAATCCTGTACAAAATTCTATATTTGCTGTAGGCCTTTTTTACAAAGATAGAAAATAAATAGAACAACCTAAAGTTTATTTTTCTAGAACATGACTGACGAAGTGGCGATTGTGACGAAAGCCAAAGAAAATATTATTTTCGCGATGAGTGCTCTTAGCGAGCAACAAAGGTAATTTTTTCCAATATTAAATCACTATAATATGCTCAAAATCACGTTGAAGGAGGGAGCTGTCACAAGCAAAGCATAACCTCATCCATAAATGTTCATTTAATGGAAAAGCGTGTGATATTGACAAGTAAGCAAACAAAAGCTATGAAGCGTTCGTTACTTCCTCTGTTTTCAGAGACTTTGCGATAATTTCTGACCCCACATTTGGAAACTGTTTCACCTTCAACTACAATCGATCTGATTTCAAGAGCAGTTTGAGGGCTGGGCCCATGTACGGTACGAAACAGTTCTTTCTGAAGACAACAGGCAAATCGCCTGGGTATCTTAGGTGAAAATTAATCGGACATTAACTAAGCCATTGCCCAAGCGGCAGCTCGTGCGGTTCATTTCTCGCCGAGACATTCAACTCCGAACTCCAGCAGACCGTCATTCCTACCGTACTTGAGGACGTTGATTGGTCAGCTCCGAAGAGCTACGGTCTGGGCCGGAGTTAAGAGTAAATTTTTCCGGCCACGAATGAATCTCACGACTTGACTTGGGCAGTGGTTTAGCTAAATTTTTAACCAGTTCCCACTAGTATCTCGGTAGAAGTCAAAATTCTCAGCTTACCTAAAACAGTTATACTCCTTAATGGTTAGATAAAATATAATAGTTAGTTCCATGCTCAGGTCTTCGCGTCATGCTGTTTGTGAATGCTTCTGATTATTTACCCACATCGGAAGCTGTTGGTGTTCGACTGACCATACACGATAAGGACGAGTTTCCTTTCCCGGTGAACTATTCAGAATATCCGAATTAAGTCTAGCGCGTCTCATGACACCAATCATTCCAGGATACATTTGGATACAGTGCACCTACCGGATACATTTCTTCTTTTGGTATGAGAATGGTACAGATTTTAATACAAACCTTAGGCGAAACTTTGCTGATTTTGCAAAAAAATTTAGAAAAAAATGTCCCGACTTCCGGCACCGTACGGTGATTGCATTGCAGAAGGTGCGACAGCTGATTATGTCTACAAAGGATACAAATACTCCACGGAGGTAGAATCATAGGCGTTTTGTCGCACGAGATTAGACGCGTTGCGGACACAAAAGCAGTTTTATTTGAAGAGAGAGGGAGAGAAAGAGAGAGAGTGCGCTCGATTGTAGAGGCGCAGACAAGCCCGCAATGGCGCCCTTTCTCTGTGTGCAATGAATTGCTTACATTTAATGCTAGCGAAAAAATTATACGCAAAACTTTTAGGGATGCTATCGAACCTGCTTTCAACAGCTGATTATTGATCGATGCGGTTGTGGCGATCCAAGATTTCCATCTATTGACAATCATCCACATTGTCAAGTCTTCAACAAAGAGCATAGTAACCTATATATACTTCATTTATAAAATCGTGACGATGGATTTTACTGCGGACTTTGCGCCCCATGGGACATACAGGAAGGCACTTCTTGTATGAAAACGCTCATACAAGAAGGCATCATCTCAACGTTCAGCTCAGTCACTTCCAGTATCTAAATATTATCATCGTAAGCAAAAAATACCATTCGACTAGAGATGAAAACCAAGAAAATGTGATTTCCGGAAGTGGCGTGCATGTCGCGCGCGGTCGCGCCATCGTCACAATTTTTCAAGTGCCCTACACCTTAGAAATTGGACAAACATCCAGTTTATTTGTAGGGACTTGCCTAGAGATAAGCACTCATGAACTTGGTGACATACATGGATCATTCAAATGCAGGTAGATATTCTTTAAGTCTTCTATTTGATACAGCAATGTCGAAGCTCTAAAAATCTTCAACTGCAGATGTCAACAACCTTGCAACCAAACTATCTACACGATGTCATACTCGGAAGCGATCTGGCCTAGTCAATCCTTGAACATCAGTCTTGGCACCTGTGAGAAGGAGCCAGAAGTATGCAATGAGGAGTATCAGTGAGTGAAGTTGCTCACATTAAAATTTCTTTACTATGTTGAGTAGCCATGAATTTGCTGAGCGTCAAAGCAGCAAATTAATGCGCAAACAATATCTTTGCGGCGCCTTTTGTTGCCTTTGAGTCGCAAAAAGAGAACATGGGCAGAAGAGACGCAGAGACAGCCGCAAGTGCGCCGCGGTACGGCGCGTTTTAGATCGTGTTCGTCAATCCGACTATAAAGGAAGTTTTTCACAAATGTAGTCTGGTTATTAACGTGAATTACGCAAGGAGTTCAAAATCAACTGTGAACGCAACCTTTGTAAGAATCAATCCAACTATCCGTCAAAAAACCTGCTATAACCGCAAAGTTGGAAAATCACCATGATTCAAATTGTTCCAGAGAAAATGCAGCTATGCTAGAAGTCTTCTACGAGGCACTGAACTTTGAAACGCTTTCGGAATCTGAAGCCTATGGGGTGAGTACAAACGTCAGACCTTCTCTATTGCTTCAAAATCACCTTGTACTATTTCGTAGGTGGTGAAGATGCTTGCCGATTTCGGTGGACAACTCGGACTTTGGTCTGGAGTATCATTCATGACTTGCTGTGAATTTGTATGCCTTGGTTGCGAATTGCTCTACATGATTGTAATGCATCACTGGAAGAAGTACAAGTTCAAAAAGCATGAAGCGGAAAATGCGCTCTGAAAGAGATCCCGAAGACCTCTATACCCTTGTACAGCTAGAGAAAATAAATAGCCTTCTGAGGCTGCGCTTTCTTTTCAAAGTCGTTTTAGATCTGGTCATGATAGTAAACGAGATAATATAAGTACCTGTTTATAAACATATACCAAAAATATTCAAGTAATCACATGAGGTTTGTAGCACAAAATAGATAAGATTCAACCGTTTAGGAATGTCAGCTACCTTACTACGAAAGAACGATATCAACAGATCAAATACAATTTCAGTTAATGTTTCAACAAGTAATGAGCAGCATAAATTGATGTGAAGGGTAGGTAGGTTGTAACAGAAGTCAGAGTCCTACGGCGGTCCATAGCTTATTCATCAATGAGTCGTGTTTCACCGGCTGGGGATTCTAAAAGTATTTTTTCATTTCATTTCATTTCATTTGTACGCTCAAGGCGTTCCATAAAAAAAAAGACACATCAAGAAGTTAGTAATACAGCGGAAACGAACAAGACATGTAAACAAATGCAGACATCATCATGTCAGTCCGAGTCTGATCCTAATCAGACTAATGTGAGAAGATAAAACAGCTTGCACTGAATATGTTGGTAGGCTAATAGATAAGTATGCAGATGTAGGCATGAGATTTATAACTCCAAAACTTTGAATCCATGGAGATGGGACGCATGCCCCCTCATTGCCAGCGGAACGATCTTTAGTTACTCTTAAAAGCAATCCGGCGGCTTATAAGGCAGGTCTACTGGCTCGAGTATAATAACCATAACCCAACCTAGCCGGAATGCTGGGGAGGCCCAATGACCCCAAAGGTGAAACGATTCTCATTGAATCCATTTGTTGAAATAGCAAGCTGCACGATTTTATCACTTTGCATGGAGAAAAAAGAAAGAGAAGTAGTGGGAAGGGGGGGGGGGGGGCGGTGTTGTCGTTTTTCTCAACTTCAGCGTGGTCAAGACGTTGACTGACAGAATTTCATATCATAAACGCTTATCTCATGGAACGCCAAAAGACTCGAATTTTTAGAAACCGCAAAACGTCTCATTTTCAACATTTTTACAAGCTTAACAGCAAACAGGTAGATACAAAAGATACCAGGGAGGGCCATCACAAACCAAAAATTCAAAATGGAGAATGCTATTCTCCTGAAAGTTCGAAACTTTATGGGAGACGCCAGTCTGCCAGCTTTATACTGAATTAGTCTAATACAAATGGTTCCAGATGACTATCAATTGAAAAATCAGAATTATGCGTGTAGTAAGCAAATAAACACTAGATGACAATACTTGCCCTCTGATCCTGATGGTTATCATAAGAAACAGTTAATGACCTCATTCCCGCTCTGGAAGCTGTCGAAAGTCTTGATCGGCTATAACATCTCTATTAAAACTTGCCACAAGGCACCGAAAAAAATGACAGACTTCATCGAATCGTCCAAAATCGGAGTTTCTCGCGTTGGCGTGATAGAAGGTATTTCCTGAGGTCCTTCTCCATTAACTGAGTGCTCAGCGATACTACGATTGAGCACTGGTGTTTGGGGTACGTCGACGCCAACAATCTCCTAAGAAAATTTTTTAATATAAGTTATGTACTTCTGGAGACATACAAAAATAGCATACCTTCTCAGTGCATGGTATAACACCAACTCGTAGTGCACTATCAATAAGGCTTGCATTCCGTGAAAGTGCTTGCCGAGCATGCACGGCGCAGGAATACCGAATGTGCATCCAGTTCCCTCGGCTTGGAACCTGAAGAGATACAGCATCACCAAGTTATCTATCAAATTATTAGCGAATTCAAAACAAGTCAAAATCAGGGTTTACCAAACTATGAGATTACCGGTTTTAAAAGCAGTGTCCGGGCAAAAAGTGATTTTGAGATTTTGTGCCTACCTGGTCGCTATGGTGAATGCAAAAATTCACACTGGAGAGCGCGAAAACGGCGAAATAGGGCTCTAACGCAGAAGGAAAATCAGCAGGTAGGGGGGGGGGAGGGGGAGGTCTTCGCCACTTTGAGTTCACGCTCCTCGCTTTCGGAACAATCTTCTCGATCCAACAGCCGTCCTAACGTCGCCACCGGCTAAGTGCAAAAGCGGGACCTGAAATTGGAACCTAGGAGATTGCTCCGGAAGCTGGCAGCCTGAAATCACAGTGAGGAAGAACCCATCCCCTGCTGATTTTCCTTCTGCTTTAAAGCCCTTTTTCGCCATTTTCGCGCTCTCCAGTGTAAATTTTCAGATTCAGCACGGCGAATAGGCCCAGGTAAGCACAAGCCCTCAAGATCGACTTTTTGCCCAGACACTTCCTTCAAAGCGATTCAAATTCTCACAGATTCCTAGATGACGATCACAACTACATGAGGTAATTAGGAAAGCGTAGAATGACAAAATAAAATGACTCACACGGTGGCTAACAATCTCTCCATGTCGCGAAAAATGTTTGAGAACATTTGCAGCTTCCTCGGGAGGGAAACCGTACACAGTGACCCAAGTATCTGCAGCATTCTGTGAGGTTTCAGGCGCTTTTGCAGACTCGGCGTTTACAAATGGCGAATCAGATACAATATTCATTGACCGCCGGGATGCCTTCCGCACGGGTTCGATTTCATCACGCATTGAACGAAGTGGAGGAGCTATATATCAGAGGATGAATCCCACGCATAAATGCCTCAACAGATACCTGGACTTAATGTGCCTGAAGGAGTGAACGATCCAGAGACTTGATTAGGGAGTGGTCTGAGACCTGGTCGCGTTATTTCTTGAGAATGAGAACGTTCTTGTACTAGCGCTGGAGACCAATGGACAGACTTACCACTGCTGCCAGCAGCCTCTCCTAAATAAACTACTGTGAAGGGAGTGCTCATAAAATTGGGCGATAGGCAACTACGCTAAGCGAACATATTGTAGTGAAAAGTGAATAAACATGATAAATACCCTAATTTCACGCGTATAAGGTGCACTTTTTCGAATTTTCAAGCGAGCCGCTCAGCCGCTTCACTGTATTCCGGAAAGAAATCCTTACATCGCACGATTCTCTCAAGCAATATACAACACGTTATAGTGTCCTTTGGTTGTAAAGTCCTTTGCCGTGTCTGGGCTGGTCGATTTTGGAAAAAAATCCCCGCGCCTTATACGCGTGAAATTAGGGTAAAAGCCGCGACTCCTCTTATAAGCGTTAAAACTATATCGTTATACGAGCAGCCAACATGGCTCTCAAAATATGCTTTACTACAATACACGTACCTCTGAGCTGATTTGGTATAGGTGACGCAAATATGTCGTTCGAAGGAGCAGTGTGACCAGCATACGGATTATTGAGATCTGAAAACATACACAATTTGAGGCTGTTTGTTTCAAACAATCAGCGCAAACGAGATAAACAAAAAATGAACACTTCGATGCCTTTGAGATTGTTGATGATAACCAGCTCGTGGAAATTATGGCACTTCAAGCAAGTACAAAACCGCAGATTTGCAGCACTGGCCAACTTTTATTTTTGCCTGACTGCTTATACATTTGCCATATTATTAGTGAGATGTACGGGGCCTTTGTGCGCCTTTGTGCGCGGTCTGAACGATCCCAATCTTTGCGTGTCTTAAATCGTGCATACTTAGATTCTGAGTTCATTTTCTCCGGGAAAACTCATAACTCGCCGTCCAGAGGCGCTTGGCAATAATGAAAACAGATTTGGAAACCAGCGTCCAATGCTCTTCAAAGTGACATAGGAGTCATTGAAGCCACTTCGACTGGATGGACCTCCTTTGTAAACACAATAACACCACTGTACTAAACGACAGATAAAGATGAGATAACTAAGGTAATTCTAACAAGCCTTAAGGAATATAATCCCGATCGGCACGCAGTAGTCAATTTAACACAATAACAGGCATATCCAAGACCTAGCCACTCCTCTAATGCTCATTATTATATTTCTCAGGTAATCTGCGCAAGTAATCATCATTTATTAGGTCTGTATAAGTCCCAAAATATGCAGGGTAAAACAGCTATAGAATCGACTTGAAAAGACTGCAAATTTGCAACAAACGATGACAGACAAAAGGAAACTCACATGAAGGAGTTGCCGGAGCCACTGATCGTCGTTTTTGACCAAATAAAAAAGCTGGAGGCTTTGCAGCGTCCTCTTGATTATCACCAACGGACCTAGAAGTGGTAATTTTGAAAAATACACAAACCAAAACAAAGCCTACTTTTTGATAGATGCACCGCTGTTGTCCACACCGTCCGCACCATAACCGAAACCTGTTGAACGATTGAGCAACGGTGAGGAGTACATACCTAAAAAGCACAAAAAAGGATCAGATTGATAAAAGAAACTACGATCATATGCAAGTTTTTTGGCAGAACGCAGCAATTTCAGAAAAAACCATTGTCTAAGGAAAAAGTATGAAATCCGCAAGCGCAACCTTACGCATATTCGCAAACTGCAAAGATGCACTGATTCATTTCGACAGTTTCCTCTAGAGAACTATGAACCTAACTGATTTGGCAAAAAGACGAAGATACGAAAATAAATACTTTTAAAGATGGCTCTCGTCATTGCTCTGACATTCGTTGCGTACGATCCGCGCGAAATTTGCGTACGAGCGGACTCCCCAATGGCCGTTCGCCCGCTAAATGCGCTCGGGTGATACGCGAATTTCGCGCCGCTGGTACGCTGTCACTTCGGCGCCGCTGGTACGGTAATTTCGTGCTTGAATCACTGATATGACAATTTTGTGTTAACGCCACCGATATGCCGGTTTCGGAGATCACGTCTGGCTACAAAATTGAACAACACAGAGGTGCTATCGAAAATTGTCTTTAGGACCATCTTCCGATTACGTACTCGTGCACGTATTGTAAACATATTCACGTCAATTAGCATTTAGGGCAGCCTAATCACTGCGTCGTACCTTACGCAAGTATCCTTTACGCTTATAACGTGTGAAAATTACGCTATAGTTTTTGTGCACCCAAAAATGTGAAAATTATACAGAATGCATAAATAATGATCGCGCACAAACTTAAACGTCTTTCTTTGACTATGGTAGCCGTGAACACGTAGACTTGCCTGAAAAGCTGCAGAAGCTTAAATTAGTGGTACGCGGCTCGTGTGTTTGAAGGCACGCGGCCGGTACTGCTTGTCAACTGCGCGCCGCTCGTACAGATACACTCCGAATTGCGCGCCGCTCGTACTCAAATCCGACTGTGTCGCGCCGCTCACACGCTCGACAGGCGCGGGTCGTAAGAATCGCTTTTTTTGCGCGCCGTTCGTCCGAAACGAATGTCAGAGTGGAAAAGGGTTGAGCAAAACGCGCACTGATGAGGATTGTTGACCCAATATCATTTTCGAATTTTCCCGCTTCGCAAAAGACGTAAACCTACGTCCAGAACAAGGTCAGCAAATGATGTCATCGTTGTTTGTGGTTCCGAAACAAGTCTCTCGCGTTGCCGCTCTGTAAAGATGGTGTGCTGAAAGTTCCATAAAAGGACCATCATAGGAACATCCTACAGAATTACGGGTGAAAGTGCAGTTGAGCAGTACTGTCAAAATACCGCACCAAATCCACCTTTTCAAAATCAACCGCCTATTATCCATTCTCTGACTGAGAGACACGAGCAGGCTTTGCGTACGTCTTATTAACAACTTCACGAGTGCGTTTTGACGTGTTTTGGTTGATTTACTATGAGATTCTGAGGTGCCCTATATGCCCCCCCCCAACAAAGGCAGGGACCGTAATCAAGCTGTTCGTGTCGGATCCGATCGCGATTTCCTCACCGTCCTTTAAATTTTCATCTCCCGTCTCTGAGATTCAGTTGTGCGCGAATTCCTCGTTTTTGCTATATATTTAGTTGTAAGCTGGAGTAGTTGGAGCTAGTTGGAGCTTGATAGGATTCGGGCGTGGCTTGATAGCACTTTCGCGGTCCTAGGTCCATTGCCTCCATTCAGAGACAACATCAGAGGACCATACCGATGCAGATGCCCCTTTCCGGGGGCTTACATTCAGAATAGGTAGCTTTGCCCTGGACGCTGTCTTCAATTCTAAAGTTCATGCCGGCTCACTCTGTTATATAAGTTAGGATATAGTTGCCAAGAAAGAAAATTTCACGACAATTTCTGCATAACATCATCATCATTATAACATCATTCTGCATGAATGAGGGAAACGGTACAATATGGGCTGGAATCTCTGGCACTCGGCCTTGTTCCAAAACCTATACGGACATCTGCCCACCCGTCGCAGGATCCTCAAGCGATCCAAAGACATCGATATAACTATTGTGAGCAATGGTGCAGCCTAGAGGATCACTTACCGTCACCTGATCTCTACTGTGTCAAGTCAGACGATGCCTGAGACGATGCTAAATAAGATCATGCTCTCAAGCTTTTTTCTATATAGGCTTGAGCCACAACCATTGCATTCCCATTTTCACTTCACCTATCAGTCGAACTAAACACCACTTGAAACTGGTTGTCTGCATCTGTCGCCCGTTTCCACTTCCGGCTTAATTCCCACCTCAGTCGCTGCAATTATTAACGCCGATAATTTGAGTGCAAAACAGAGAATTATGCCCCGATGCACATCCCAAATAGCTCGCAATTAAGTAATAACAGATTGTGTAATGCAGGGTAAAACGCAACCTTCTGCTTTGAAGCAAAGAAAAACAGCTATATCTGATGGCAGTAAGTGTTTCTATAGGCTTCTATAAATTAGGAGGCTCAGGAAATTTTATTTTCCTACTATTTACATAGGTTTGTCGAAGATCGCGTACACAGTGCCTTATATGGTACCGACAACACTTGCTCGTTAAAAATGGCCATGGCAAACTTGAGGAACGCGCGCTCAATGGTCATTTTCTCTTGCGTTAGCGATGTCGACATTACAAGCATGACAATTTTTCCATATAAATATTGTCAGCACCGCAGAGCCATCATGAATAGTCAGTCTGACAGGGCTGTACTTAAATCTCATTTATACCTCCGTTACACTCTGGTATAAATACCATTTTGAACTGTTGACCATAACAGGGGCTGGGAGATCAGGTTTATTTGGTGCACGTATTGGAGCGGAATTCGATGAGAACGAATTATAATACAGCAGCACAGTGAGTATGTTGTATAAACTGGTTAACATACGAGCAAGAAACGGTGAGGCCGTTGTAGAGCGCGATATGATCGCGGATTATCGTACATGTTATGGAAGAACAATTAATCAACATAGATCTAGAGACTCTTACTCGTAAAGATTCGTGAGACATCAAGCTATATAGGCATCGGAACCTGACAGCGAAACATATGCGAGATAATGTGACCTGCGCATTTATGTGAGCAATTATATATATGAGAGTAGTGACAGTATTGCATCATGCTAGAGTACCAGCTGCAGGATATGCTACTGGTGCGTGACAAATACATGGAAAAACACAAATCTAAGCGCAAATAGTGCTCTCAGCTTACGGGTACTATAACGAGAGAAAATCTAGAATGCAACACGACTACCTAAACGCCGGCGTGAGGAACTGTGGGTAGAGGAAGTGCCTTAGGGGCTATGTAGCAACGGAAGGCATTGTTTGATTTCCATCTACCGGCTTGCATCACTGTAGCTTGCTCGCAGCCCAAACTGAGAGCCAGAGAAGCCGCGCCACCCCTGAAAGAATGGGAAGTTAAGTTCAAATGCTCTAGTTTGCAAGTTCTGAAAAGGAGTTTGAGCCTTTGTCTAACAAGGGAAGGATACTTGGATGCTGCGGCCTTTCCTAATGATTTGTATACCAAAAAATGCGCCTTCGAATGCAGATTCTGAATCTGTGCTCGAAACCTGCGAAACGATCTTTTGAAGAAAGTTATGAACTTTTTTCCTTGAAAATTTAGCCTACTTTTGGATAGTTAAAATCACCAGATTTGATCTAGCCTACCGTTTGATGCTACTGAAGAAAATTTTAGACGTAGTAATATTTACTTAGACTATCTGGATCATACTCAGCATTTGGAAAGGAGAGAAAATTTTTTTATTGATGATTTTGACCCTCCGCAGGAACGCATTTTTTTTTAATGAAAAAAATCATAACTCCATTCAGATTATCGTTTCGCAGATATGAAAGACAGTCTATGAACCAGCATTCAAAAGCGCATTTTTTGGTATACAAATCATTATGAATGGCTACGGCATCCAAGTATCCTTCCCCTGTAAGTGTCGCACATGTGAGAGGTTGCGCAGTTGATTCGGACTGGAATAAGAAAATTGCGCTTGTGCGTGCAGAAAGATATTTGTGCAATAGGGCCCTCTCTATTTTGTCTAAAAGAATTGCGCAAATGACCCCTCTACCGTATTGATCGGTTTTGGATTTTGCAATGTTGAGGTTGTACATACTTTCCGCCACCCACGTGAATCACGCCGGTTACGCGGAGAAGTTGTGCTTCACTAATCCTTAGCAAAGCTTTGAACTGAAGCAGTGCTAATGTAGCCGCTTGAGTTACCTTAGCATCTGTCGACGAAAGGCCTTCCAAAACCAAAGTTCGCATAGATTTCTGATCTATTTTGGGTCGATGCTTCACCTCCGGGGCTGTTCTGCGCTCCGCTTCTAAGATGGAACGTTGGATTTCTAAGTCTGCTCCCGATAAGGATCCGCAAAAATAGTTGAGTGACGCGACGAGGGTCGGCAAGGACTTGCTCCTTCCCTCGAAAGCGCATTTTGCCAAGTAGAGATTCCTAGCTTTTGGGAGGGGCAGTGGTGAAATTCCTGTACTTTCCTTCCAAGCGATGAATCTTTGCAATTCAGCTTTGTATGACTTGATCGTAGTTGTGGCTCTATCCGTCTGCAACGCGTTGGAGATCACTGACTGAGCCGATAGTCCTCAGGCCTAGTCGGTTCGCCATGGCTGTCAGGGCTGCTCCCTCGGAGAAGCGTGGTGCTGAAATAGAAAATCTCAGTATAACCCCTTACTGGGGAGGGAGGGAGGGCCGCTCCGTAAGTGTCCAAATGCCTGGGTGACCCTCCAACCCTTCTTAGGCTCGGGGCCGCTTCGCTCCGCCTCCTTGGCCCCGAGCCAATCGACTGGAGAGTCGATTTCGCAAGATCAACAGTTCAAAACAACACTTATACCTCCGTTACACTCTGGTATAAATACCATTTTGAACTGTTGACCATAACAGGGGCTGTGGAGTAACAAAGCCTGGGGACTAAAATGGTAAATATCTTTGCGGACGGGGAAAATCGCGAAAATCTATGAGCAAAAACATGAATGGAGACTTAGCGTATTGAGAACCAAAAGCCCCTGGTAAGCCGAGGTCCGCAAACAATTTTGTGCCTACTGGGAAAAGAACCCCATCGCGAACAAAGTTGGCCCAATGTCTTCCATCAGGTTTGAGTATAGGAAAGAAGGAGTGTGAAAACCAAAGTGGGCATCCTAAGATACCTACTGATTTGAGAAAATGCGCCCACTTGAGCGCTTTGGCGACTAACGTAACAGGTGGAACCAACCATAGGAGACCTTCCGTCCAAGCCGATGACTAATCGAATGCGTCGACTCCAGCTGTGTTGGGGCAAGGAAAACTGGAAAAAAATCTTTCACATTTAGTGTTCCTATCATTAGCAAACATATCTGTAGTTGGCTCGCCCCATCGAGACAAAGTGTCGAAAATAGAATCGCTTATTCTCCAATCGTCATAATCTATTTGTCTGCTCGCGCTGTCGGCTTCTACATTGAATTCACGGGGTACCCATTTTACTAGTACGTCTTTTTCTCGCGCTCCACTTCCCAAACTTTCTCTGCAAGTTGGTGTAGCAACAAAGATAGGCTACCTTTCTTGGATATAATAGCCGCAGCTTGACTATCGGTGTAGATGAGTACCCTAGACTGAACTTGACTATGGAAGGTATCTAAGCCATATCCCATTGCAAAAAGTTCTCTAGCCGTACTAGATTGCGCTAGCAGGTGCATAGGAAGTTCCCTATAAGACTTGCCTAACTGCAATCCGTGCGCATCTGCCAGTATAGCTCCCACCGAATGAGCAGACGCGTCTACCTGTAGAATTTTGTCGAAGTCAAGGTCTACCCGAGAAGGCGTGAGAGATCGAGACGGGGGCGCTCTTAATCTAGACAACCAGTAACGAATTTCTCGACATTCGTGTGTAGATTTCGGCCACTTGCGGCCTAGTCCCCAGTTCTGGGCCTGTGCCTCCCTTGCAACGGCCATAGTGTTCCGTTTATCTACATCACTTAGGATAAGATGCATAAAAGCTAGGGTTCCCGACCAGCTTAACCTGTCATGCAAGGACGGCCGAACGTGAGAAAATACACGCAGTTTATCTCTTGCCCTAACTAGCCTGTCTTCTGATAGTTCTATAGTCATCTCATTCAAATCAATAATGAAACCTAACCAGCTTGATTTTTGTGCCGGGGTCCAGCTGCACTTCTCTTCAGCGAAGAAGAATCCTGCCTTAGTGAGATCGGCTCTAACGGCGTCGACTGCATGAGAGCAGGATGAGCTGGAAGGTCCGAATATTAATCCATCATCTAGATATATAGCGGCGTCCAAGCCAAGTGATCTCCACTTTTTGACAAAGGGACGAAGAAGCTTTGTGAAAATATGTGGCGCGGACGAGAGGCCAAAAGGAAGGCACAAGAATTGATAAATCTCTCCTTGCCACTTGAACCCAAGGTATTGTAGGTGATCGTCACAAACTTTGACGTGGTGGTACCCCGACTTGAGGTCGAAGGTTGCCATGTAACCCCGAAAAGGAAGTACATGTAGAATTTTTCCTAAGTCCTCAAACTTGCACTTGGGCACCGTAATGAACTTATTGAAGTGGGATAGGTCCAGCACCATTCGCAACTTCTTACCTGTCGCGACAGATAGAGGGTGAATGTGCAGAGAGGGGCGCTGGCTGGCTGGAACACGACGGATAGCTCTCTTCGAAAGTAGGTCTGAATTTTCTGAACTCACGAAACTTGGCTCGAGAGCACTTTTCCTATTTAGACTGTAGCTAAGCTTTGTAGGAGCACTATGAAAGGGTATAGAGTACCCTGATATAATCGTGGTCGTGACCAACTGATTAGGCTCGAGAGCCATCCGAGCAGAAACTCTATCGTGAATAGAGCCAGCAAAAAACTCACTATTTTCTTTTCGGGCAGTCTCGCCACCAGTGACATTCTTTTCCACAGGTCCTACACTCGCTCTTTCTTCTGTCCAGTTCCCGCTGGAATCCGTAATCCGAGCGATGCGGCGGGGAGTACTCCTGTCTGCGCATGCGACTTCTTTCGAAATACGGTTGGTATCCATAGTGGGTCTTGAAAGCGACTGTCGTAGCTTGGGAAAGACGAGGGGCCTTCGGCTTCATACTGTAAAGAGCGGGAAGCAGGTGGCCAAGCTGCTTCCCGCTTTCGAAAGGGAGGGGGAGCCGCTTTTCTCTTCCTTGAAGTAGACTCCTCTTTGGGTTTCACGGATTCGAGAAACTCGCTCAGCCTGGGGTCCGTTACTCTGAGAGACTCTGATTTGTTTTTATTATCTAAAAATTGGAAAACGCCAGGGCGATCGTCAGCGATTTTCAATGTTTCATTCCTTACAGTTAGATCCTGGATGACTGAAGAGATTACAGTGCCTACCTCTTGGCAATCTTGCAAAGGAACAAGTTTTCTGATAATCGACAAGTTGAAATCGTGTTGACGTGCGTAGCCTTCACGTTTAAAGGTAGGTGCAGAAGAGGTTGAAGGAAACTGGTTTTCAGACCTGATAGCGTCCAGAATGCTCCGTAGATCGCGTCGATCCAATCGAATAGATTCGGGTTGCGCCGGTGCCATTTCCTCCGCAAACACCTCTTCCTCGTGTAAATCTTCGTACGTGTCCTGTGGAGGTTGACGTCCGTCGTCGCCCATCGCAGAAGTCGAATGAATACAGATGTGATGAACAGTCGACCGCTCCGTAAGTGTCCAAATGCCTGGATGACCCTCCAACCCTTCTTAGGCTCGGGGCCGCTTCGCTCCGCCTCCTTGGCCCCGAGCCAATCGACTGGAGAGTCGATTTCGCAAGATCAACAGTTCAAAACAACACTTCTCACACCATGTTTTTGATCGAAACTCGGCCCTCCCCTTCCGCTGGCGGTCTCCAACCTATGGTCTTTGATGCTTGTCGTCAAATTGGCATTTCCTCCGCGACCTAAAAGGTCTACGCGTCCATTGTCAGTGTAATAATAAAGGAAGCCGAAATTTTCGATGTAAAGCAAATTCAATAGCTAATAAAGGAATTTCTGTCGTGGATGCGTCCATACTTCAATTTACAAAGAATTGCAAGCTAGTGAGGAATACATACTGTTCTGCAAATGCGCGCAAGCTGAACTATTAATGTGTCCTGCATTGTTTTTGATCCGCCAGAAGTGTGGAAACCTGTTCTGTGCATTCTTACGCAAATGATCATGTTGACCTTGGTAGTTATGTCGACATTTTCACATTGAAACGCGCAGAACATCACCTCATATTTTTGAAGGACGGTGAAGAAATCGCGGTCGGGTCCCGACACGAACAACCTGATCGGTCCCTGCCTTTGTTGGGGGGGCATATAGGGCACCTCTGAGATTCTTGAATGAACATGTTCAAGGTCGTAAACAACTCCTGTTTGAACATGTTAACAACATAGTAAGTTAGCGAAACGCGTTAAAACGTATTCTTAAACTTGTTGGTCAAACGTATAGGCTGCTGCTGCTCAGGCGCACAATCTTTAGGCGCGAACGCGGCTTATTCAGCTGCAGAGCGCATGAATCGCAGGATATACAACGATAAAGATATGCGCGCGTCGCACTCGCGCCCCACAACTAACATTGCTTCTGCGCCTTCGTCATGCAGTAGGGCAATTTGTTTTGCCTAATTATCCAGGAATTTTTTACATGGTTCGTAAGAAGGGTGCCTAATGTTGACCGGAGGGTACAACAGCGCTGGCACCCTACTATCAAGCTACTTGGGGAGAAATGCTATCCCTTTTATTGAGTGCCACAAAATAGATACAGCTCTGACTCTTCTTAGGTCAGAGCTGTATCTAACCCTCTGCTCACTTGTTTCAAGTTCTTCACGAAATTCACGAGTTTCAGCAGCTGAAGAGAAGAGCTGGCTTGTAGCAGGTAGCGGATTCTGAGATTAAGAGATTTATATCTTACTTCAAAAGTTCGGCAACAAGCAAAAATTCAAAAATTACCTCCAAAAGCGACAGATTTTCTAAATACTTATTTTGAGCGAGATGCTATATGAATTTTACATGAATTTATTCCATAATATCATGCTTTTGATTTGATTTTATGATTATTCCGTCAGTTTCTTTTTTTAAGTTTTTTTTTGTTTTTGTATATTTTTTGTCTTGTATCTTATTAATAAACTACAGATTTTCTGCTGTCTTGATCGATATATAATACGTGGCAGTAGCGCAACCTCTGAGGGAATTATCGCACCTCAGCGCGATGAGATGTGAGGCTGCTGCGAGTAATTCTCTGCGAGAGGTTGTGAACGACGAGAGCGCGCTTACGGTAGCTCAGCCGCGGCGTTGGTGCCAGCTCTGGCGGCTGGCCGCTACACCAGGCGGCTGCCTGGGTAACATTTGCTACGCACCCCCCCCCCCCTACTTTTGATACGCCCTTTTGACGTTGATGGTTTCGTTGAGAAGGCAAACCTCTAGCCAGAGTCGTATCCGTCGCCCCTGCATTCTTAGGGCTTTTGACTTCAGTGGCTTTCCTCGCTTATTGTGGCACGATCCTGGCAAACTGTACCTCTTCTTTATTTCATATGCTCCGACAACAACGGTTCAAGCTTCATAAGAGCGAAAAGTGGCCAAAGTGAAAAGATGTGGAAAAGTGGCCTCTGAATGATTATTCCTACAAAAAAGTCCGCACAGATATTAGTGTTCACATCAAAAAATATCTAGCCAATCGCGAAAGGCTCCTTTCTAGATTACATGCCAAAGAAGTCTATAAGACACTTCAAATACAGGACTAAGGAACAGCTAAACTTCCGGTTTTGACAGATGAACATGGAAACATTTTTGGAAGTGACAAGGAAAAAGCGGAGGCCCTGGGAAAATTCTTCGCTAGTTTTTACAGCCAACGACTGTGAGACTTCGGTCGGAAATGCTTATTTATGATAAAATTTACGAAGCTTTGTGAAAGCTTAAGGCATCAGTTACAATAGCTTATGATGGAATGTTTTGTATTTTTTATTCAAAGTTATATTTTTTCACGTTTAATTTATTTATATTTAAATGAGTAAACCTAAAATAGAGATGTTAACTTAAGTTTAAAGTGTCAAATTTTCAGTTTGAAAATGTATTAAATTTTCAATATGTCCTTGTCGTTAGGGGAAGTTCCTAGAGCCTGGAAAGAAGCGCTAGTAACGGCCATTCCAAAAAATGATGGTAGCAACCTAATTTCCGATTTCCTATCAGCATAACCGCACCTTCTGGAAAAGTTCTTGAGAAATTTGTAAGGCCCCGGGCAGCTTCACGCGATTTGATCGTCGCGACTGAATCGCGACGAGACAACTGATACGAGTTCATTGCATGCCGGCCAGCTTATATTTCAGTTGTGGTACTTTTCCAGCCCGAAATTTTTGGATGTGAAATGAAAATGAATGCAAATCTTGGCGATTAGATCGCGACGATTAAGTCGCGTGAAGTCTGTCCGGGGCCTAAAGGAACGTCTGCTCGACTGGCTAGATAAAAAATGGAGGTTTCCCTCAGGCTCAAAACGGTTTACTTCCTGGAGGACCTACTACAGCTCTGCTTTCCAATTCTTTGTTCGATTGCATTAGTGCACTAAATCACGGTAAATCAGTTGACATCGTATTTTTCGATCTCCCAAAGCTTTCGACAGGTATTCGCGGTCAACTGCTATCATGGTTTTCATCGTATCTTCATGAAAGAGGCATGACAATCCGAGTTGGGAACTCTTTTTCAGATCGGTTCTGCTGCGGTAGTGGAGTTCCTCAAGGGTGCCATACTGTCTCCCCTTTTACTTCTGACATGCGCTACTGAGCTACCTTCTTTTCTGAAAACTCATCCAAGCCCAAAGATACAAGTTTTTGCAGATGACATAACAATTTATTTTTGCTACAAAGATGAAGAACAATCTGAAGCTTACAGCAATATCTTCCGCGATCGAAAACATGAAATTATGGTCTAAAAAATGGAATCTCCCAGTAAACCCTTCTAAAACGAAGTTTTGTACCTTGGAAACTCCACAAGCTGCACTTATGCCACTTATGGTTACGATGGGGTTATCTTACAAGGGAACGATACTCAATGTCCGTGGCCTTTCGAGACAAGATGTATACCATTACACTAGTCTTCGAACGCTGATTCCGAGTCTGACTTCCTTTTCTGCTAATCATTTCTCTGAAAGAACTTATGGAGAAATTTCGAGCCAACTTTGGCTGCCCAAGGATATGGTCACCGGAACGGCCTCTACCGGTGTCATGTTATTGTCTAATGGTTAGTCTGATAGCCTCATAACTTGATGCAGGCGTAGATTCAAATCCTTTTGCGCTTTTATTTTGCACTGCCCCAATTAAACGTTTTTGAGACTTACTCGAATTATGATCGTTGGATACATTTTAGCGCAAATAGTAATCATTTTTTTCAAATTTCCACATTTTTGAAGAGTAAGGGCATTCAGTTAGCTCGAAGATGCGAAAGAAGGTTCATTGAAGCAATGCAAAACTGAAAAACATGAAAAGATTAGAACCTACACCTGCATAAACCCATGAGCCTATCAACCACTAGACCATACCGCACCTTACTCTTGGCGCTCCGAACGTATTTCAGTGGGCAGCCAAAGCCCGCACAATCCTTTATAA